CCGGGGGCTGGGAGCCGGGGGCTGGGCTCTGTCCCGGTCCCGCTTTGCGGGGCAGCCGGCAAGGACTCGCCTTCCGAGGTGCAAACCCCCTCGTGCAAAGCTTTCCGGGCTGCTGACTTGAAAGGAGTCCTGCGTTTTGTGGGTTTAAAAGTGCTATGTGATGTCCTGGGTGACAGCAAACGCAGCAGTCGTGGGTTTTGCGGTGGGTTTCTTTTGAATTTACAAATGGCAGAATCTTAAAACTCCGGTTTTGTGTCTGGGCTGCACTGAAAACCAGTTGTTTGATGCATCTGAAAAAGAGGACGAAGTAAGAAGGTAGGATGTCCTGTGGCCGGTCCTTCAGTGATGCTCTGCTACAGGCTGCTGCAAAATTTTGACAACTTAATACATTTATGCTCCATAATTTACCCAGGCCCCTGATACAGGTCATGGAGGCTGTAGTTTGCAGTTTACAGTATACTTTCTGTCGCCACTGGCATTGTCAGAAATCTAGGATAGTGAATCAGGGCTCCCAAGTGCCTAAAACTGTAGTTTAAATGTTTGTTTGCAGACGCTGTAGCTAACCACAGTATTTATTTCCTATTCAGTGAAACACTTTCAGAGGACTTCATAGTTTCACAACTAGGACTTTGGTTTTGAGTTGGCTACATAAAAGAGCATCCTATTAAAATATTTGTGTTCATGCAACAGACAAGCTTCTACAAGCCAAGACAGAAACGATCTGTTTGCAGATGGTCACACTTTCTCTTTAGTCTACTATTGTACATCAGACAGGACATTGCTTGGAATCATAGCTGTCATTGTCTGGCTTTTCTGGATCTTCTTTCACAACTGATGGCAGGCAATTCCCAGTTTTGATACTCCTTTACCTTTTACTGCAGTGTGTGTTTGATTTTACTTCCTAATGGAAGATGTGTCATAAGGTCTTTTCAGTATCCATTCCTACACCTCTGAATCTGGTCCCCTGCATTTCTACTTAATACTGTCATTTATGGCTAAGGCCTCAGATTGAGTTCCCTTATGGATTTCCTGAGGGGACTTGGTGATCTGAAAGGTCTGATTTTGGTTGGACTTGATGATCTTAAAGGTCTTTTACAACCTAGTTGATTCTATGATTCAGTGATTAAGAGTGCACAAAGAGATAGTTGAGTGGCAATCCCTCATTGTTAGTTAACTGCACTACTCTGGCTGCCTTGAGTTAACTTTTGCCCTCAGGGCAGCAAAGCCATGCATCAGCACCCTTGTCCCTTCTTGACGAATGTAGGAAACCTGCGAAATTTTTTTGTTTTCAGTTATCAGTGTTACTTTGGTACCTGGATCCAAGACCATCTGAGCAAGGGATTGTGCATGTGACAAAGGAGTCTGTCATCCAAACAGTTCAATGTTCAGCAGACAAAGTAAATGCTATTGGAAAGCCTTTCTCTTTAGTGTTACTACTTTTTATTCCTTGCATTTTATTTAGTAATGATTTATTCTGATTGTACA